CACGCGAGCGATCCCACTCTCTCGGCCTAGGAAGTTGAATTCCAATGGTACGTAGAGACGTCACGACCGGAAACTTCTTTGGCTGCAGTAGATGACCCCGACGTCTTATGTGCCTTGTCGTGCTCTTGGCGCTCTAAAACACCTTGCTGTACCCGCCTTCGTAGCCATTGGAGTGACAAATACTGCCTAAAACTGATAACAGAGGCCTTACTTTATTAGGTGACTAAAGTTTCTTAGAGTAAGACCTATTTTTTTTTTTAAATGAGTAAGTAAAGATCTCAAAAGAGAGCACTTCTCAAAGATTGTTAAAAAATATATCATCCCTATGTCCTTTCCAAGTAGTGGTTTTTTCTATCAATATTTTGTGCATGTAACACAGGTTAGCCAGGCCATACTACAAACTCAACAACAACTTTTAATCTGACATAATAAACCCAAATTGTGTTTTCTTTAAAATGTTTTACATTATTTTGAACTTAAGGTACATGCACAGCAGCAAGTTTCATTTTGAAGCAAGACTTAAGTTTCACTTCATTTGATGTATATCAAACTAACAGCAAAGTGGCATGGCTTTATACCTAACACCAACTCTTCAAGAAATGGCACAGCTACATGTTAACTTAATATGCTGAAATTTTAACTATTCAATAAAAATCTCTATTCAGATTCACCAATACTAAAATATAAAGTATATAGCGGCTTCATGACAAACACAAATTCCTCAAGGAATAAGTATAGTAGGCTTTCCTTTGAATCATACTGAAGAGTACTCTTTGTCTTTGTCAAAAATCTTGCTACAGATTTGCCTGTACCTAAATGCTCATCGTAGAGACCTTACACCTAGGACATATTCTTCAAGAAATTGATACAGTAACTTTTCTTTTGAATCATATTGAAGATTAGAACAATAATAAGTTGACAGTCAATTACTTCTGTCAACAAGTGATTTATATTTAGTTTGAGGTTCTTTACTCTGGTTCAGTAATTTTTTGTATAATAATCACATGACTGTAAGTAAAAATTACAAATGGTAGCAGTTTACATCCCATGCTTATTCTTCTGGAAGTTATAAATTTATGATTTATTTTGACAACCACTTTCATTGTCATTTGAAATTAAATTTTTTTGTGAATTAGATGCAACAAGGATACTCCTAATGCTTTATATTTGGGGTCAACTAGCAACACTCAAAACTGTGGTCTTGTTTCATGAAGAATCACAGATATTGAGAGTATTGAAAGAAAAATGAAAGTAAAAAAGTTTTTCAAATTATATTTAGTTATATTTCCTAGGGAATTTGACAAGCACAAACCCACAGATATTTCTGAAATTTTGGCAAGGATGTATAATAGATCTAGTTGGAAGAAGAACCTTTCTACATAGAATGAACACTTGCTAAAAGCAAGGATTTGAGATATTCATTCAATAGTGGAAATATCTTTAAAATGAGAATTCAAAGTCATAATTCTTAAAACAAGGAATGTAAATCTTATTTTTAATGGTGGTTTTCTTAAACTGAGGAACTTTCATTGGAGAGTATAAAATTCTTAAAAGCAGAAATCTTGATCCTTATATCTCAAGGAATTGACTCTCAAAATAAGGAAAAATCCTTGTTTTGAGTATCCACTGACTAACAAGAATTCCGAAAAACAGAAGTTAGTGTGGTGTGAACATCCTTGTACTTGTTTTTTCATCCTCGTGCTAATAATTATCTTAGAAGTGTGAAACAGGCTTCAAGGGCAGTACTCGGTTGCAACACAAGCATAGGCATAAACATAACAAGCTAATGTGCAGGTGGGCTCAGCTGCAACATAAACATGAGCACAAGTGCTCAGTCAATGTTATGTTACATAGGAACATGGTTGGTATAAGCAGTATAGTGCTTGCCGACTGCCTGAAAGTCTTTCGCTTATGTTTAATTTATCCTTACGCTTATGCCAACCAATTCTTAACTAGAGAGTATAAGCATAAAAAGAAGGCAACGTTTTGATAATCTTTTGCATATATGCTTATCCTTATGTCTGTGCGTTCCATCCAGCAAATAAGATTTTACATGGTTATCCCTATGCTTGCATCGCAAATAAATACTGAGCTCAATATTGGAACAATAGTTTTATTATAAACAAAACAGCACCCCTTTGAACTTTCATTCCACAAACCTTAAAAGTAAAATCTAGAACAGTGATTGTCTTGCACCAAATCCTAATCACGCCATACTCTCTGTCTTTGAGGCCTAATTTAGTCTCACATCATATTCCTCATAATGCTCATTTATCAGTCTAACGATTCATACCTTAGTAAGGAAATAAAACACCCATTTCTATTGACGACAAAAATTACATTGGCTTAGCTAATTCACGAGTTGGCTAACAGAGCCTTTGATTCTTTTCGAGATTGAAAGGCTGCGGCAGGAGACTAGAAATAGCGGTGCTCAATGAGCGATTTACCGTGACTAAGTGAATTGTTTTGCGTTAACTTATTCTGGGGGCTTACTTGCTCGTATGAAGGAGCCCCGATAAAAGATCTGAAAGGGCATAAAAATCGTTTCAGGGTCATTCTGAGCAGTGCGATACATAAGTCACTCGTTTTCACTTGAAACGCGCACTTTTATACTCCGCTGATTTTTTTGATATAATTTGGATATATTAATAAAGTTGAAATGGTAAATTGGCCACCGTAACGATTACAAAAGCTTACGTTTCGACGCAGCTCCAAACAGTTTCTTTCGAAACTATCAGCCTTTATTCATTTGATTTTTTTGATGACTTAATAGTTATTAGCAGCTAGTTTTTCTTGTGCCCGAAGAGAAAAGAAGAATTATGAGTTGCAAAAACATCGAGAGAAATACAAACAAATATGCGACCACCTAAAACAGCTTCGCGCCGGAGGAAACTGTTAGATAACTATTCACACCTGGATCCGTTTTGATAAGTCATAACATATAAAATGGACAGTTTATAAATGATACCTTCGAATTAACATGTCGAAGCGTGCGACACATCAGCCGGGCTTTTATGCAACGTTACTGAATTATGTTTATGATCGTTTCTGTAATCAAAATACCGTCCGAAGGTAAAGCCAACTGTAATGGGCGTTTACGAAGTAGAGGGCGCTGTTGCAAAGCGAATTAAAGGAAGAACAACAGAACACTTCATCCAGTGGCAGAATTACTCCCCCTGTGAAAATACATGGGAACCAGCCGAACATTTCCTTGGAAGATCTCACCGCTGCCTTCGAGAACACGTCTGTCGATCCGCTTCGCGCCTATGAATATAGAGAGATCGCGCCTATAGAGAGATTGTCTCTACTATTCGAGAAGGGTTTAAAACTGCCCTTGGCTTGCAACGAAACTAGCACCGTGCGCCACGATGTGCTGCGAGCGATCTTTTCTGGGTTTCCATCAGATCTCCGGGGGAGTCCTTACCTCGCCAGTGAAGACGAGCTGATAGCAGCAGGCCTTGGTTCTTCTCTGAAAAAATGTCTAACTGTAACAGGGGGTTGTTGTCAGGTCGACGCTCCTGTCCACCTGAAGCTATTTCTTGGAAAATCGCCTGCCCTCCTAGACCAGCACGGCCGCATGACAGCTTCAAGTAAAGTTCACGAAGAGTTGTTACGCCAGAATTTTGTGAACAGAGAGCTGCATTATGAAACGGCTTCTTTGGAAGCCACCAATCGTGATAAAAGGGCTCATGGCCAACTTAACTCTCGTTCAGTAAAGTTAACCGTCCTGATGATTTTACTTAGAAAACCAAAGCAAAATAATTGAGGACTATAAGGGAACAATTAGGACAATTTTAGTGGGATAAAAAGTGGGTGAAACTTATGAAGAACGACGTTGGTTAGGGACAGCGAAAAGCCTAAATAATGTTACTGTTTTACAAAAAAAGAAAAACACAAAAGAAAAAGAAACGCTAGACAAAACAAAACAGAACAAAGAGGCAAAGCAAAGAGAAAAATTTAAAAAAAAGAAGAAATAATACTTAGTGGTGCATTTTTTATTAAACCTGTACTCCAATATCAACCACAGCTATAAAAACTCCTTTTTAAAAGGCAATGAAAGGAGAAAATAGTCTAATTCAACATTCAAACGTTCTCGCTGTTCTTTAGAGAGAGAGCATCATATGAACATTGACCTATTGCAGTTTTAATAATAACATGGGAGTCTTCCAACGGTTTTATCTTAGCAGGTGAGTATTATTTATTTCTACCATAGACTAAGCTGCAACCATCAGGCTTATATTAATAAGCCACTCAAATATTCAAAAATGATTTAATCGCAAACGCATCCATCTGATCTCCTACAAAGGTAATATTTATAGTGAGTACTGCAATATCTCCATTGAGGGGCATAAAATGCTTAAAAGAAATCAAATTCACAATATTTTTCCAAAGGAAAAAATATATATTCTAAGCGATTTAGAGCAATGTTTCCGAAACGCCGATCGCAATATGTACTCAGTCATTATTCAACTCGGCAGAGCACCAGATCATTATGAGTCAAAATAGATCATTATGTATGCAGTTCAGGTTTTTCAAAATACAAGTCTTGCCTGCCTTGAACCAAAGCCCTCCCCGGCAAATTTCTCCCCTAGAAAACAGTACATAGATAAGAATACCATGTCACCCACAGAAACTGCAATCGAGGTTTTTGCATGACTTATCAGTGATGATAGTCGCTATGCCAACAGCTTATTTAAACCATGATTCCTAAAAACTGCTATACCGCAGCTATCATTCTACTGGTGGAAGATGACACATCAGTGACAGGGAGAATTAATGAGCGTCAACGATGTTTTCCGATAAGCAGAAGTAAATTGACCGAATCGAAATATGGCGTCCAATTTGAATTGCCATTATTCTGGATTTACTAGCCTTTCACAAATGTGATAGATCTTTTGTGTTTCCGTGTCAAAACGAGGCTAGTAAGTCCAAAACAATGGTAATTCAAATTGGACGCCATATTTCGATTCGGTCAATGACTCGGATAAGTTTCAACGATTCGACCATGTATATTGTTTTTACCTACGTTCTTTTGATGGAATTTTGCGCCATAAAACTCAGGGTTGTCGGATCACAAGGTTAGTAGCGGCGAAAGTCATATTAACGTCTTAACAACAGGAGCAGTTTTCCTTTTGTTGGCATATTGACTTAAGCTATGGCTTTGGCTTTATTGTGTGTTTGTTTGCTGTTGTTTTCTATTTATCATACAAGTTTTTCATTTCTGCCCCTTCAAATAATTTGGTTCTATAATGGTGCGCAGTTATCTGTCGGGATCGATCTAATATACTTCAGGCTACAATCCATACCATTTTTGATTCGGTTTGAAAAAGTCAACTGCTGAAATCCTAAAGAGATAGTAAGATCAGTGTTAGAACAGACTCCAGCAAGCGCTTTTAAATGTCAGAACGCTTTAGCAAACGGATCACGTTTTGAGAAAACTCTCAGCTGAGCCTCTCAGTTTGAAGAAAAAAATTTTTATCGCTACATCTTTAAGTCCGGAATGGTTGCCGAACAGCTGTATTTACACCATGATACTACATATTCTTCGATTTCAACTTCATGGAGCTTATCTTAACGGGAAGATTTAATTAGTTTTGGATGGTGTGCAGTGCAGTTTCAGCTATTCTTATGCGTTTGTTCCAACATGTCCAAGATGGCGTGAGAGAGCAACATGTTAAAAAAGCGCATCCGAGTTTTTTTTCTCGCTGTTAAGTCTTTCAATGTACGCGGAAATCATCTATCCGTCTCCATTGCCGATATCAACCTTACGGTTGCTTAATACATGCAGTGGAACCCCTCAAAATCGGAGAAAATGTTGGGTTTAGAGGGATGTCCGGTGTATTGAGGTTTTACAATATGGTAATTCAGTGAATGGCTTGAACCCGGGGGTAACATGTGAAGGTGTAGTCTGATCGTCCGGGTGGACAAACGACACCGCAACCCATACGACTACAGCAACCATACCGTACATAAAAGGCATGTCTGAAAACATCTCGCGCATCTTACTACCCTTCAATATCCGCGTCGCCCACAAACCCATCACCACACTACGTCAGTTACTAACCAACGTTAAAGACAAAGACGAACCGAGGAACAGACAGGGAACGATTTATAAGATCAATTGTTCCGACTGCCAAGCCTCCTACATCGGTGAGACTGGCAGAAACCTCACAACAAGACTGACTGAACACAGACGGGCGACGAGGAAAGGTGATGTCAGCAATCACATTGCTGAACACCATCGACTTACCAACCACAACATTGACTGGGACTCTGCGCAATGCCTAACCTACAGCACTGACTATTTTCAACGACTGACTCTGGAAAGCTGGTTTACTAACTTAGAACAGACTCCCCTAAACAGATGTCAACAACTACCCGCTCCATACAAACGACTCATTCACGACATAAACATCACAAACGACCGAAAAAGAACAACCTAACTTTACCGACAGACCGAAACAGACCAATCACGACCGACTTACGTCACTTGAGTCTTACAGCCAATAACATCACGGCAAAACCAACCGATCATTTCACACGAACTGGAATAA